AGAGAAAACTATTCTTAAAAATAAAATTATAAAGGACATGGGCCTCCTAACTAACAAACCACTTCTGGGTTGTTGTTGTTGCTGTTGTTGTTGTTGTTTTGTTTTTTTTTGGGGGGGGGGGGGAGGGGGGCAACCAATTCAAATTTCCAGCGTTAAATTCCATTGTCTTTAAACAAAAATTATGTCAAGATGTTGAAAAACAATGTTTCACTTTCCGTTTTCAAGTTAGAAAATTTGAATAAAATGATTAACATATTTTCCGATCTCTCTGGTCTCTACATTAAACATGTTCAAAGCTCCTGCAAAGGCTGCAAAAAGGAAAAGTGAAGTTGATCCAAGTGAAATGTGGACAGTAATGGAGTGAATATGGAATGGTTGATCGTAGTTGATAACGAGTGTAAACGTAAATGAGTGGTAATAACAACTACGACTGAAAGTGAGACAGAATGGAACTGCAACAGGTTGTTCAGTCAAGCAGGCACGTAGCCACAGGGGGGGGGGGGGGGGCACGTGCCCCCCCCCCCCCCCCAAAAAAAGAAGAAAATTCCACGATCGGTTGAACTTTTTTAGACCCCTTTTTTTTACCTCGATCGATTACATGTATGTGTGCCCCCCCCCCCCCCCCCCCCAAACATCAAAGTCTGGCTACGTGCCTGCAGTCAAGACAACAAACCGTTAGTTGCAGAAGATAATTTACGAAAGCCAGAGAAAGAGAGAAGGGAATCATTTAGGTACGATGAGAGTGGGTGGAGAAAAACCATCCACTGTGCCACATAATTTGTCTAAATAAGGAAACTTTATACATTAGTATATTTAAAATGTATAATCATAGCCAGAGAATGTGTTGTTTTATATGGCTTCTTATAGCATGTTTTATTTAATAAAACAAAAACAGACCCAGTTATTGATAGACTAAAAAGGGAATAAGATCGAGACATTAAGAATATCAGTATTTCTTATTCAATGAAGTTAAGGCCACTCCCCCATATTGCGATGCATTCTGGGTATGAGGGGTGGAGCTTAGCAAGCTTGAGATTGTGAAAAATGGATGGTTATTATCATTTTTTGGTCAACAAAGAGATTTTCAGAAAAATTTTATGCTGGAATATTAATAAGTAGAGGTGTAATTATGTTTTCAAAGGCTCAGTTAGTCGGCGTAGATATTCATAAATGAATGATACACGCCATTAAAACTTTAAAAACAACAACAACACAACGAGTGAATTTTTAAGGTCCACTCCCGATGCATCCTGGGTACACCAGCTGTATACTGGTGATCGATAATACAAGTTTGAGCGCGTATTTCACCTAACGGTGATCGCATCAGAATAATCCACGCTGATTCGCTGAATCACTTGCGTTGCTAGCGCGCAGCGTGATGAATAAATTACCCATAATTCCGTACAGTAGATTATTTGACCTCTCTGATTATGCTGATACGCGTATTGTCTTTACCATGTAGTAAACATCATTACAGTACACTTTTCGCGGGGAGCATCCTACAGAATGCATAATTCATAAGGCTCATGAATTATGCAAGGGGGCTTATTTTGGCTTCTAATGGATCCGGACAAAATGGCGGAGCTTGGGGGGCCTGTGTAGATCACCGCCTCTCGATTATATTCTGTAACAGTAACTTACTGTGGAAGGCTTGTGCGGAATACGCGTGCGTACCATTAGGCAGCCTATGCATATGCCATACATGCTCGACCGGCTAGCGGCGGATCCAAGAGTTTTTTTTTAAAGGAGGAGCATGAAGTGTTATATCGGCATGGGTCCCGGGGCCAAAAGGCCCCGGAAAAAAAAATTGAACTATAAGATGCTTTATGGTACATTCTGAGGCATTTCTGAATGCGTAAACTGAACATTTATTTGAAAATTCTGGGCTTTCCCTGTTTTTTCGGAAGGAAAAGGGGGCATGCACCCCAACGCTCCCCATGGGTCCGGCCCTGGCAAGGCTAGCTAGCTCGACGCGATCCGGCAGGGTAGCTCTCTGCAGTACTCCCAGGACTGGCGTCGACCACCGGCGCCGCCGCTAGACCCGCCAGAGCGCCTAGCTAGATACCGTACCTGCAGCTAGCATCAGCTACAGTTTCAGCGGTCGGCGCAGCTTTTTAGCCTTGCCTAGCCTATGCTGCTGGTGGTTCCTTGTCTTCACTCCAAAAATATCTACAATGTAGGCCTAGACTATACCGTAAGTTTTAAATATGTCTATAAATATTCATCTTAGAGGAATAATCGATAAGGACTAGGCCTAGATATTGTTATATTGTTTGAAAAACATTTGCCTTTGTATTTCATGAATAGTCCCAAATATAAACTTTTCTGTGTGTGATTCCATCGTTATTTGTGTGTGTGTGTTGGCAATTTTTCTACGAAAAAGTGTTGTACAATCAAAATTCATCCAACTTGAGCATACCAAATTCCACTTCACACTCCTATAATTTCAATGCATAAGGTCTAGCCATTAATTAACCGGTATGAACCTCATGAAACTCATTGGATTTTACTAAAGTTAAACTAACAAATTACTTTTCCACACACTGGCATGCATGTAGGTCTAACAGTTAGGTCTACAAACGAATACCGGTAGCCTAGATCTAGATCTAGATCTAGGCCTACTAAATTATAAATAGGAGAAAATGTAAATTATTGTTCAATTGAATATTGAATATGAATCATTATGATGCTTCAAAATCATACTGCAGTTTAAATAACCTAAAAAAATCAGTTCTCTTATTTAATTTCATGATTCACACTAACAGCTCAAAATCGCGTTGAAAAACTGAAGAAGAAACTGCCCCTTGATTTATTCCATTGCACTTTGTTTCACTAGCGTTTGCGCATCGATAGACTTTATGATAGACTCTGTCTCAGATCAACAGAAAATTCAAAGAAATTTTGGGCAAACCTTGATGAAACTGCGGCTATTTGTGCTGCTCACTCTCCTCATTTGGCATGTTTGGCGCTATAGCCAATGTACTATGTAGGTATTTCATTTAAAATAATTATTATAAAGTCAAAATGACTAGTATATTGTCTACACATTCTTGGCATGCTTGTGAAATATTCCACCACTCATTCAAGGACTCTGCACAGTAAAGCCTAACGGTTCATTGTGCGCAATGCTTGCACATGTTATGTCTGTAGATTATATAGGCCTACACGAAGAAAAAAAATGGTTTATTCACAAAATCAGTAGGGGTGCTAGTACGAGAATAAGCATCGTCCGCATAAATGACAATACCCTCGTAAATGCAGACCATTCGCATCCAGAAAAATAAGGATCATCCGCATTTTCGTGAAGGATCCGGATTCCCGATCCGCGCGCGTTGGTGATGCGAAAAACGGATTCCGCGATGATGCTCCATATTGCATTTTACACTTACGCAGAAACTTTCACGTTATGAACAATAAATCCTAGGGAAGACGGACAACCCATAGAAAGTATAGACGGTGAACTGGAGGTATTTTATTACGCGGAATCCGTTTTCGCATTAATTGCCAGCACGCGGATCAGGAACCCTGTACCTGCAGAACATCGAAGAAGAAAAACGTCCGTGAAAATTGCAGACAATCCTTATTTTTTTAGGTCGAGACTTGTCCGCGTTTACCAGGATATTTCGTTTATGCGGACAATCTTCATTCTCAGACCAGTGCCCCTATTGAAAATGGCAATATTCCTCACATCAATTCACTCTTAGAGAAATAACTTGGCACAAAGTACCCTGCAGGAAGTCAAGCTAGGGCCATGCAAGGACAAGTAAAAGGGCCACATCCAATCCATTGTAATTTGCAATTATAATTTTTTTTTTTTTTTTCATAAAGATAGAGAATAATAGGAATAACTCATTGTTAAAAATACACATCACATATGATTTGAACAAAAATACCATGCAAACAAATTTCTATTTTTCTATTTGGGACTATTAAATGGCAAAATGGAATGATGATGCATTTTGGAGCAGGCAGCATGTTCTTGGCCATCAACACATAATTACCAGGATTTTTCACTGATATTTTTTAGATGGAATATATTAATTGTTCTTTATGTTATAATTTCATTTATATTTTAATCAATCAGATTTATATGTTTTTCATTGAAATGAGTTATCAATGTAATTTTTTTGGGGTAAAATTGTTTCTTAGGATCATACACTGGCCCAACTTTATTTTTGAAGAAAAAAAATGTTATTGTTTTGGTAATTACTGTTGTAATCTGACAATACGAACAAGCAAAGGGCGTATACAGTAGTACACAATAAGCACTGACTTGAACAATTCAGGGAAAGCTATTTATAGAGGGAGGGAGGGGGGGGGGTAATGATCCTATGCACCTAATTCTGCATTGGTGTAGTACGTAGTTCCCATCATTTGCGATTTCCTCAGTGGTGTTATAAATTTGCTTGCATCTTCACATTGGAGTGAATGTTGTTATAGGGTTCTATAGACTATTACCCCCCCCCCCCCCCCCCCCCCCCCCCCGGACAATCACCCCTGACAATTACCGCAAAAGGACATTTTACCCCCCCCCCCCCTTAAAAAATTGGCCCCCCCCCCCCTAACCCTCAATTGAAGCTGTTATTCAACCCTTACACTGACAGCAGTGATCACGGGTTGACCTCTCAGTCATGAATATAAGCCATAAGGGGGAGGGGGGGGGGGTTATACTTTGCACCATACAAGTAGGGTGATCCTATACACCCAATTTTGCATCCAGTGGTTCCTATCATTTGTGATTTTTCCAAACATTATTTAAGTCAATTTTATAAATTCGCTTGCATCTTCAAATTGGAGTGATCGAATGCCGTTTTAGCAATATTTTAATTTTATTTTCATATTGCATCTTTTTAATACAAACAGAAAACCTAACATGCTTGAAGATGTAGAAGATCCTCGCTATCCATCCACCTTCGCAGCTTCTTTTGCCTCACAATTACCTCTGTCACAAGTCCTATCAAACACCGTGCCCGATTCTGGTGAAGCTGACAGCACTGGGACACTTCGCCTCAATTGAAGCTGTTATTCAACCCTTAGATACAACCACTTGCCTCCTAATTACCTGCTATGAAAGAAATTACATATTGTGGTAAGTACATTAAAGCAGCAATGGGAAGTGGGGCTGTCTCACTGACAGCAGTGACCACAGTGACGTACTCTCAGTCGTATAATCATCAGGGGCGGGGGTCATACGTGACGCTATACAAGTAGCATGATCCTATACACCTAATTCTACATCCAGTGTTCCAATCATTTGTGATTTTCCCAGAGATTAAGTCAATTTATAAATTTCCTTGCATCTTCACATTTGAGTGAATTTTGTTTTAGCATGGGGCGTGGGAGGGGGAGGGGGGGGGGAGGGGGGGGGGGGGTCATACTTTGATGTCATACAAGTAGCATGATTCTGTACACCCTATTCTGTTTTAAGTTACGTTTATGATTTGATTGCATCTTCACATTGATTTGAATGCTAGCTGTCATAAAATTAGTGATATTTCATGATAATATTGCATCTATTATGAACAGAAACCAAACATGCTTGAAGATGTAGGAGATCCTCGCTATCCATCCACCTTCGCAGCTTCTTTTGCCTCACAATTACCTCTGTCACAAGTCCTATTAAACACCGTGCCTGATTCTGGTGCAGATGACAGCACTGGGGACACTTCGCCTCAATTGAAGCTGTTATACAACCCTTAGACACAACCACTTGCCTGCTAATTACCTGCTATGAAAGAATTACATATTGTGGTAAGTACATTAAAGCAGCAATGGGAATGTGGGGCTGTCTCACTGACAGCAGTGATCATGGTTGACGTACTCTCAGTCGTATAATCATCATGGGCGGGGGTCATACGTTGATGCTATACAAGTAGCATGAACCTATACACCTAATTCTACATCCAGTGTTCCCATCATTTGTGATTTTCCCAGAGATTAACTCAATTTTATAAATTTCCTTGCATCTTCACATTTGAGTGAATTTTGTTTTAGCATGGGCGTGGGAGGGGGAGGGGGGGGGAGGGGGGGGTCATACTTTGATGTCATACAAGTAGCATGATTCTGTACACCCAATTCTGTTTTAAGTTTCGTTTATAGATTTGATTGCATTTGACATTCTTGAACATGTACGATATCCTCGCTATCCTTCCACCTTCACAGCTTCTTTTGCCTCACAATTACTTCTGTCACATACAAGTCCTAACACCATGCCTACTTTTGGTGCAGGGAGCCTAAAGGGCATTTCCAATTTCCTTTGGTTGTTGCCACTTTTTTTTAATGAATGCGTTTTAAGCCTTGTAATTGCGATATCTTAGTAATCATTTGAGGTATGAACTTCAAACCTGCTAATAGTATGTATCACTTTAGGAAGACAATCTGATTATATTTTGGGGTAAGTAGGTCAAAGGTCACATAAGGATTTCTCTTTATGCCAATAGAAAAAACTCTCACATGTTTTAATACAGATAACGTTATAGAATTTACACAATGGAGGGATTTTATTTTTTATTTTTTAATCTCTGAAACCCAAAACTGTACAAAATCCAGGAATGAAAATTTAATCTAATGATACTTTGATCTCAAGATATATGTTTTGGCGGACCCACCTCCCACTAGCATAGAGTGTTGAAAGAGTCACACACTTTTTACAGCAAACGTTATTGTTGAGGCATAACATAAACTGTTTTGCGAGAACGTGCAGTTTTCTTCATGTTGGACTGTTTTCAAGATATGTAATTTTCGATCTTTACCAATTAGTATTGCATCTGTTGGATCATTTAGAAGAAACACCTACTTATGATATTCATATTAATGTTTATATGTGCCACATTAATCTGTACAAAGTAAAAAGGGTATTTATTCAAGATTAAAATGATAGTGTTTAAGCCTATATTATACACTATTTATTTTAAAAAAATCAGTAATGTGAAGATAAGTTGAGGCTAGCAGTCTGCAATACTTTGAAACAGATAAAGTCCTGCAAAGGAAACAAAATAGAGCCTCAAGCACGTTAGGAAATGTGTGTCGAAGTGTTGAAATGAAAAATTATCTTACAGTAGTCTGATTGGTGTCCCTTTTTTTATCTCCTTTGCAGCTTTGCTCAAGCTCAGCATCCATTATTACATTATTCCTTCACTTTTTATCAAAATTTAATGAATTTTTTCTTTTCTCTTTGTTTCTTTTATTTGATAGAGCTACTAGCAAAGGAACAACTTCAACACTGCATCAAATGGCTCGACCAAAGTTATCAGTGGAGCAATATTCACCTGGTTTCCCCAAAACAAAACAGCACATCCCAAAGAATGGTGAACTCCAGTTGAAAAGACATGCGATTCTGAAATAACCATGGTCATTTCAGACATCTTGCGGGAGAATTAAAAGGGGCAAGAACATTCAGTGATTTAGATACATTTTACCATCAGGAGCATTCACTGCATTGCACAGTATGTAACTGAATAGTTGGAGAGAAACTGGACTCTGTGTAACTATACTAGACATGACAAGTACAGAACTACTAGCTAGTAATGGACAAGGAATTTTACTCACGTGAGCAGTTCAAACCGAATCCAAGTAAGTTTTCCTCAAGTGTATCCAACCAGCCCTTCAAATGCTGCACCTAGACCACAAGGCCATCCAAAACTGCACCACTCCGACAATTCTGGGAGTTATATTACAGTCAGATCTCAAATGGAATTTCCAAGTGTTTGATATGATATCAAGTGCCGGCAAGCGACTATACATTTACGACATCTCAGAGTATCATGTGAAGATCTAGCAGACATCTTCTCGACATATATCCGATCTTCGCTAGAATACGCTTCTCCAGTTTGGTCCACATCAATTTCCCGAACAGTTATCTTGCAGTCTGAAGAAAGTGCAGAAACGTGTCTACTGTATTATCCTTGGATAAGAACAGTTGTATGAAACCACTCGTTTCTCTCCAGAGTCTAACTTCTTGCCATCTTGCCCTTCTTGAATCCTTTTCTTCAAACTGTTTAAGTCATCACGAGATCGAATTATGTTCTACCGCCAACTCGTCGCCAAACCTCTTGCCATGAACTCTGAAACTCTCTACACATAACTATACCCTACTGTAGAACTGAGAGACACCGCACTTCAATTATTCCCTATATTGTACGACTCCTTAACGACCAACTGTAATTTTAATTATCTTTGTCATGTTTGTATTTATTTATTTTTGCTTACCATATTATTGTTTTTCATTCTTCTCTTTTCCATTCTTCATTCTTTTATCCTCCCCTCTCATGTACTTTTTCTCCTTCTCTATAAATCAGCAATTAAAGTACTTACATGCATTATGATTATTATTACAATTTTGATTAATTACAAAAGAGTCATCTCAGAATGAAGTATCTTTTTAAAGGTAAAGACCAGTATTGGACACGCCCCAATTTCAAAAAATGAAATGGAAACTCTCATTACCAATCATGTGAAAGAATATGTTTTGACTAATACATGTACATGATGATAAAAAATTTGCCGGGAAACCGCCTACTAATTCATATATTTGGTAAATTTGTTTCTCTCGTGGTCGTGTGAGAGATATAGGGTAGTCCCATATACATCTTTCTGTGTATAGTGCTTGTAACTTTACGAAGAATGGGCCAAATTTCTTATCATTTTGATGATTCCAGAACTTTGCAGATGCTAGATGCTAGATGATCACCTTTTCTGATCGATTCCACAACGTTTCTTTCACAATGCAATCGCATGACCATTACTGGTCTCTACCTTTAATCAATCTTTTTATTCATTATGTTTAGCTTGTATTTAGGTTGTTCACACCAATTAACCAATGTATCGGTTATTACAGAATTTTAAAATCACAATTATAGGCATGTATTTTCTGAGAGGGTGGTGTTGACTTTTTGTGACTGCTTTTATTTGTGTTTGCGATCATGGGATTTCATTTCTTTCATTACCCATTGTCGGTTTAATTCAAAACTGTATGAGTTTTAGAGCTCAATAAGTAATAAGTCTTATTTAGGTATCAACAAAAGCTTATACTCTGAACATAATTGTTTAAATATAAGGTTATACTATTTACAATTGCTATACAATTTCTATTTGGAGCATTTTTGGGGTACTAAAGTTCTTGCTAGATGTTAACCCAATGAAAAGTCATGCGTAAACAATTTGCAATATTATTATTCTACTCAAAGAAAAGAACGGGGTGATTTGTTTTCTTTTTTATACCTTTTTTCCTGTGTTTGGTACTAAATTTGTCATTATAGGAAAATATATATTTTTGAAGTCATTGCCAATTTTCATGAGTTCGGCTCATGGTCAATTTTAGTTAAATTGCCCACATTCAAATGTATATAATTCTTTAAAATCATATTGATTTTATTTTGGCATGTATTCTTTGGTAGCAAAAATACACCCATCACATTAGGTAATTAAGCTAGGGTAATTGCTGGTAAATTTTCGAATTCTCTGGTGTGCAAGTTTTATATAATCTCTCTATCTTTTATGAGGGAAAAGGTTAAACAAGTACCTACAGTCTTCTCAGAAAATACATAGTGCATGTACAGTGTAAGTTTAACTTAAATAATTGATATTCCTGTTATAGGCAGTTTAAGACTTTTCAACTGATATCTTGTCATGATCTTGGTTTTTGATAATTAATCGGTAGTGTTAATAGTTTAGCATGGGTTGAGTTACTGAGAGGGCACTGATGTCATGGGGGGGGGGGGGGGCTGCTGCTCTTATTAATTGAATTAATTGTTTAGACAGATAACTGGAATCTCAAGTTGGAGCATATGTGGGAGGGGTCATGTTGCATTCCTTTACTTTTCTTTTCACTCCTTGATGGGATGTCACATATCATTTCGGATACCCCTCCCCCCCCCCCCCCTATAGGTATTCCTCTCAAGCAAATCAATCGATAGAGGAATGTGTTATTGGGTTAGTTCAGCAATTACATAATGATGCCTTTTGTCTCAAATTTTCAGACTTGTTGGATTGGATAGGAAAGGATCTTAACCCTAATAAGGCCGGGGGGGGGCATTATGCCCCCCCCCCCCCTCCACGATTTTTCCAATTGCTCGTGAACGCATATGGATGGCGCCCGCCGCTCGCTGACTTTTTTATTTCAAATCTTGCGCAACTTTTAAAAGAATTTTTTTGAAAATCGGACCTACGGTTACAAGGTCACGCGACCTTTTGTCTTTGCATGTCAGCCCGAAAATCGCTCATTTTCGTGATTTGTGTACAAAACATATGGAAAAGTCATTTTTCCTAAAAAAAACAGATCAGACATGGGTTATTGGGTCTTGTTTAAAGTTAAGGTGGTTGTTTTGGGAGTCAAAATAGTTGAATTGTAGTAAGAAATGAAATAGAACAACAAAAACAATGAAATACATAAGAAATTATCAAAACAAGGGATAACATAAGGAATAAGCTGGCTCTTCCGAATTTTTTTGTCGTATTATTATTCAGAATGGTCTAATGAATATATGCAGTGAAAAAGAATACCTTAATATGAATAATATATGATTTATGGGTAAAAATGTGATTTGTATGACTTTATTTGCATAAATTACCATAAATATGCAAATGAGTGAATTTTTCAAAAAAAATTTGAAATTATCATATTATTCTATATACTTCACTTGACAGGCGTGCAAATTTTCGCGGCGATCGGCCGCTTCGCGGCCGAGATCTTAAGGGGGGGGGGCCATAATGCCCCCCCCCCCCGGCCGTACTAAGACCTCAAATAGCCCGGCCTTATTAGGGTTAAAGTAGTATAGTTATTTTGGCTCTATGTTCTCCAGTTTCGCTCTGATGACTGCGAGGTTATGTCTTTTGTATGTCTTTTTTGAGAGGCATGTGCATTAGTCTTTTCTCTCTTTCATAGTATCAACTTGTATTGACATCTTTATATTAATTGCAATCATGTGATGTGTAATAACGAGTACATTTGTAGGTCCTATTATAATTCGTTTTTTTTTCTTTGGTGATGGATCCTTTCTCTGAATGCAATTTGTACTTTTTTTGCCTGTATAAACATCTATGTGTTTTTACATTTGTTGTTGTTCAGCTACCCTAAATACCCGACGTTATATTATTACCAAGAATGTGTTTCTTCTAACAATATTGACAGAAGAATTATATCTTTAATAAACGATTTTATCAGTATTGTACAGATGTACTTCAAACTGGATGAGATTTATTCTTTTGCAATTTCATGTCTTTGAATTGTTCGTTTGTGCCATTAAGTCAGTGTAGACAGACGTGGATGCACGTGGCGATTTTTCGGGCCCGGCTCCCCCCCCCCCCCCCCACCCCTTGTCTAAAAAAATGTTTAAAAAAATAGGATAATAACATAAATTTAACCTTTTTTTAAACAAAAACAAAAGCGGCGCCCCCCCCCAAAAAAAAAAAATTGCGTCCATACCAAAACAAAATATTACACCCCCTCACCCCCCCCCCCCCCCCCTGCGTATTCACCGACTGGATGAATCCTCCTAAATATTTTCTCACGAATTGGGCCCAAAAAAAATATATTAAAAAAAATATATATATATATATATATGTGCTCTTACCCCCCCCCCCCCCCCCCCCCCCGCCGCTTATTAACAGCCGGCTTAGTCGGCGCTAAATTTTTCCTCTAAAACTGTACCAAAAAAAAAAAATGTGCTTCTACACCCAGCCCCCCCCCCCCCCCCCCCGTTTTTTCATTTTTCACCGGCCGGCTTAGTCGGCGCTAAATTGTTTTCTCAAGATTTGCCCCCCCCCCCCCACTCTTTTCGCCGGCTGGATCCGCCCCTGAGTGTAGACGCCACATACTTTAAGTATAATGGCTGCCAGCTGTGCCTTGGTGTGATTAAGAGAGACTTGATGTGAAATGGGTTGTTGAGATTTGGAGAGGGAAGTCCTGGTCCATCATATTACGAGAAACCGGTAGGACGCCGCTAAAGTAAAGTAAAAAATATTTGGACTAAGGGCTGTAAGATTCCGAGAAAAGTAAAACATCTGCTCAGAGCTAGATTATATTCTGGATCTCCACAGAAACATGATAGCTGTTCAAAACACATCGGTGTTCTCTACTCTATGTCGCAAATTGGGAACTAGAAGGGCATTGATATAACCCTGTGATTTCACTGCATGTCATGAAAACCCTCTTAACAACAAAATCAAAAACTATATTCCAGGGCTAAAATTGTCAAGCTTTTCATTACAATGCTGCCCCTCATCACTCATACAATGTACATTTTATAAACTGATGCACAATATTTTGTCAAATACTATTTTTCACATTTTCCTGCAATGCCCCGTTAAAATTAAAATTACATCTATGATTTAAGACATTCAATATATCTTACTAAGGCAATTCTACTGAATGTATGGGCATGGCTACATCTTATTTTCAATAATCTATAATCATTTTTTGTAATTCTCCTTGATAAATTTCCTAAATTATTACACTGTTTTAATATAGTTTGTAGATAATCCGTCTTATATTTAAAAGGGGGCAGTAGCTACAAGAAGCCTCCATTGACAAAACATGGCAAACATATTAAGAACAGTGCGCTATTTAAGCACATTTTCCGTTTAGGGACAAACATTTGAATCCAATCAGTTGTAAGACCAATTTGAAAGAAGGTTGAATGCACACGAAAGGAATCTAGCTGAAAGAAACCTCATTATTGACCAGAAAAAAAACTGACATAAAAGTAAAGTGCAATATTATTAGGTACGTCGATACGAGGATAAAAGCGAGGGCGCTCTTCAAAATAGATTAGGTTAATTAATTTTTAAAATATGTTTTTAATGTAACCGTGTTTCAAAAATTGATTCTAAAAATATGTAATGGCATGAACTATCACTCTACAAAGTTTGAATCATCAATTTAAAGCGCAAGACAAAAAGTTGAACAAACTACCTAAACAGGACAATAACACCATCTCGAACTATAAACCTTCGTACATACACATTTTGCCATTCAGGATGGATCCCATTCGTGACAGATTGTGTGGAAATCGATTTACACGTCGTGTATTTTACATGCAGGAAAGGGTGTATCACGCCGTTTAATTCCGTTTAATTAAAGGTAGAATTTGCGTAGCAATTAGACGAATTCAGATTTGTTTTTCCTGCCGTTTATTTATTATGCAGTTCATATGCAAAGTTGAACCTAATACGTTCTTATGTCTTTCCATAATACTTAGTGTAAAACTAACAAAATTATACACATTATGTGGTGAATATTCTAACGCAAGAAATCTATAGAAGATTATAGTTGCAATATGTGACAAATAGATGTAAGAGCTGTTGTGTGTGTAGGAAGTTTGCCACTGCTTAGTGTGTATAATATGAAACTATTTAAGTTGTATGATTATTGGATATCACGATATTAACAATGTTTATGTAGGGCCTATACCCATTTCATGTTAAATAAATCATTCGTATAATAGGAATTTATTTAATCCTGCAGTCGTTTTAGAACAATGAAACCTTGGTATTCATCTGGTATAGATTTGGGCTTTTTGGGTTTACCTTGCATATGTTATTATTCATTATCTCCATATGTTTTTTTTTAATGCACCCCCTCAATAAACTTTATTTTCAGCACAATTAACTTTGAGGTATATATATGCTATTATGTTTCTTGTAAATTGATCCTCAGCATGAGTGTTCAAGCAGTATTAATTCTGGGGCGATGAATTGTAGTTCCGCTATTCAATTTTGTTTTAAATACATACAAAGTTTTAATTTGAAAAATATATTCAATATGTCTGATCTGGCGAGAGCATAATTTAACCAAAACTGTCAAATGGTGCGAACTGAATTGAAGTGACATAAAAGCTCCAAGCCTCAAACATATGGTTTATTATCATTATTGTAAGTTTTTATTGTTGTTATTATCATTATTATTACTATTATTATTATTATCGTTATACTGACCTTAGTTTCACTGTATAGTCTAATTGAGCTGTACCTCTGCACCATCTAACATTCTTCTGAATTCGACTTAATTGGCTGATGAAGATAATTGTTTCCCTTTGAAACAGAACTTGAACAAACAAAACTGCCTACAACTTAAATGACAACGTGATCGACACAAAGCAGTCGTTGACAATTGCGGATATTTTCTTTAAGAACAGCTACCAAGGGGTAGCGTCTGGATAGTCTTGTTCAAGACTCAAATGCATCAGATGTCTCAATAGACTCGAATATATCCGCAGCATTGAACTCAGAATCGAATTAATATAAAAAAAATGTTATTTATAACACATCTAATTAAGAATTCAATCTGCGATAGAAGTAAAAATCCGTTTCATAAAACAAATAACAAGTTTATATAGTCAATAATGTATTGATAGTTCGCGAACGAGTCTATTTGCACTGTCGCACTCTGCGCAAGGCTAAATATAGACCTTATCTGTGACAATGAACCTAACAGGCAACTTCGGTGCTGGACACGGTTTTCTGTAGAAATCCTGTAAGTACATGTCATATTTATTCTGTAATTTCGTATTCATAAGGTGTTAGACCACTAGTACTAGGCCTGATTGGGGTGTGCATGTGGACCATTACACTAGGGTCTAGCTTTTACTACTTACTAGGTCTAGACCTCTACCAGTCTACCTCTACTAGAGGTAGACTGGTAGAGGCTCTAGACCTAGCTCTAGACAGTATAGACCTAGCTAGGCCTATAATTTATAGCTATGAATAGTGCAATGAAATGGTTCTTTGCAAGGGTGCATGGTGACTCTCCTGTACACGGGGCCTCCATTTAACGTCCTATCCTGTTTTCCACTTGACATAACCTGCGCCTATGAACAAGGGAAGGGGAACGTTAACACACTTCAGTCATTCGCCTGGGTTGGGGTCGAACCAGGGATCTCCCTTCTTAGATCTAGACTAGACGTGACCTACAACTTCATGTTTGCTTCGACAGGCAGACGCTTTACTAACTGAGCAAACTCGCCTCCTGCATCCTGGCTGTGTATTAAAAGCTGTGCTGTTGATTCTCAACATTTCACACAGCACTGTACAAAACTCAGCTGATTTCACTCAAAATTCGTACTTTACTTACATGTAGATCTAGTGACAATTGATGACACCCCTACTACTAATACTAGGCTACTAGTCTAAAATAGCAGTAAAATATAATTTACAGAAGTTAGAAAGAATAATTTAAAGATTTTAAGCGAGGGCTTACTGTCAAAATTGCCAATCAGCCACTTCGCATCGTCTTTATTGCGTGCATTCGTTTGTTAGGTGTGTATGGACTATTTGTGTGTGCAATTCTGCCTATTAAAGTATTAACACGTAGTGCAGTGCTAAATAGCTAAGGTCAATACGCATTAGCATTGACTCTCTATCCTGCCCCCCCCCCCCCCATTCTGAAAACGGAGGGATACCATGCGTGTTACCAAAATGTCCGGTAACGGGGTACTTTTTGTGCGACAAGGTCCGGCCCGGTGTATTTGACTTTTCACCTCGGAGATTTCTTTAAGAAGGGGGTGTTTTTTCTTTTTCTCTCATCTCTTTGGACTCCTGAGAAATTAAAAAAGGGGATTAGGGGTCTATAAAATATCTCGAACATAGAAAAATCGATCAAATCCAGGGATTGATGTAGACTGTTTTTATACTGTCCTAATTCACACACAGCTGCATTACTATCCTGGCTGTGTCCTGTGTATTGAACCTATATTCTCAACATTTCAAACACCACTGTACAAAACTCAACTGATTTCACTCAAAATCAGTACTTTAGTTTAGTGACGATTGATGATACCTAAAATTAAATAGCAGTAATTACTGATTCATTAAATCTAAAGAGTATCTTTACGAGGATAAAGTACTTAGTTACAGAGTTTGATTACAAAGTCATTCATTATGACAGGTACAAACATTAGTAGGCCTATGTGAAAGGACACAGTTATGCAGGCACAGGTGATGTCAGTTAAGAATAGTCGAAGGCTTATTTCTAACTAAGTCTCAATATCAGGCACTAAATTAATTATTCAGTGGTGATATATTATGCAGATAAGTGAGCATAGAACTAATTTGCAGACTTTGTTTATTCTTACAAGGTACATGTACAGTGTATGAATGAAAACAGGAGCACAGAAATTTTGTATGTATTTCATGTGCTAAATGTACGTAATGCAGGCTAAGTTCTTTGGGGTATTCCCTGGGTGTGTGAGCCAACCAGTAATGACAGCTTATCTGAGTAAAGGGGGGGGGGGGGGGGGTTGGTCTGCTTTTTCTGAGATAGGGGGTTCATTGAGCAGTGTTCCGGATTTAGGGGGTCTCAAAGGCAGGAAAAGCCCGCATAAGGGGCATCCAGAAATGTTGGCAGTCCTCAGATAGGGGGTGCTTTCAAAAAGAGGGAACAAGCATATGTGTACCCTAAATAACACTGAGGGGGGGGGGGGGTTCTCTATCAGTCTTAGACAGAAATAACCGTCTGATATGGGTCATTTCTTTAATAAAACTGACATTTGTCGACATTCCCCATACACAGATCGTAACCCAGACGACTCACACAGGGGGGGGGGGGGGGGGGGGGGGATAGATTGAGCCTATTCTGTACCTCTTTTTACTCTGAAATCTGCTCCCCCGATTTTCTATATTTAGATCTAATTTTCTGATTTATAAAGCAAATAGAAAAAAAGCTAGACCCTATGTATATTTTTCTCCTATTCACAGTTATTTGTTATGACTTATTTTCAAAGTGAAATTTACCGACTTACATGTACAGTACGTGTATGAGTTATCCAATTTTGATTTCAGAACCGTGAAACGGTACCTTCATGCATTCATTCTGGTAATCTATGACATGACCCGGCCGATATATTTCCGGGTCAACCTACCAAAACATAGCCAATGGCCAATCAGAGCACTCGTTTAATATTGGGGTTATGAATATGCATACGTCACTGGGTCAAGAGGGGTTGACTCATACGTAGCTATTGGATGTTCAAAAAGAAAAAATGAATATTCATCATCTAAAAACCAGGTGGCTGACAACGAATCATGTTGACTACGAGACTTTCTCGGATTAATCATTATCCCTAGCAACGAAGTTGGAGGGGATATAGAAACACTGCCGTGCGTCCTTCCGTGCGTCCGTCCGTCCGTAACAATTTTGAATTCCGATCAATAACTTCGGTAATGTTTGACGGATTTTAATGAAATTTGATATGAAGGTACATGATATCAAAATACAGGCTAAGTTAAATTTCCGAGTATGTAGGTGAAAGGTGAAAGGTCATATCTCATTAAATATGCAAAAGCACCTAATTATATATGTGAAAATGGGGTTATAACTTCCTTGCCTAGTAATATAATAGTATAGTCCAATGAAGGTAACTTGTTCTGATGTACATGTACATGTATATATAGGCCATTTGTACCCTGCGAGGGGATGCTACGCTTTGCGTTGACTTGTTAATGTAGGATCTAAATGAGCAAGCTATCGTAAGTCAAAGTAGATATTTCTGTGTTATTTTTTATTTGTTAATATAATCAAATGTAATTTTACAGCCAAAGTGAATATATGAGGATGTAAAGAGTAAAAATCTTGTTGCATATCTCATTCATCGCGGTCCTGCCGAACCAAACCATTTGTTCCACTCAGTCACCATAGGACGTACTTCAGTCTATGTATAGAGGCGGTCAGATGAGCCAGATGCAATTTCAGCAGAACAACCGTCGATATCAGAGACTGAAGCTTTCGGTCTATATCAGTCTATGCTTTGCTGGACTGTAGTAGTAGATCTACTGTCATCCGTTGCTGTTATCCGGACTTGGCTGTCGGATTTAATAAATTTAGAATTGAAAAATTTCATTTTTATTTCAAGGGCAGGCTAAGCTGTAAGCAGCCAAAACAACAACTCCTGCAATAAACTGCAAACCTCCAAACAGTGTTTAGATTTCACTAACACCATGCTATACATGTACATGCTTCAGAGAGCTCCGCCTACGGCCTCCGAAGGGCTTCGGTGACGGAGCTCCCTGGAGTAAAGATTTCACTAGACGTTAGTTAAGTTAGAATTAAAATAGAAATGTAAATAATCTAGAGTCTAGTCGGTAGACAGTAGGAGGACTAGGAGGCGAATTGGCTCAGTCGGTAAAGCGTCTGCCTGTCGGCCCAAAGATCTTGGGTTCGAATCTCACCCAGGCGGATGACTGAAGCAAGCGTTGTGTGTTAACGTGCCCCTCCCCTTGTTGTTTCATAGACGCAGGCTATGTTACATGGAAAACAATCCGTCTCTCGGATAGGATGTTAAAAGGAGACCCCGTGTACAGGATAGTCACTACCCTTGCACGTTAAGAACCCACGGCACTATTCGTATAAGAATAGGGGAAAAACCTGGTGTAGTGGTCTACCTGCACACCCCACTCAGGCCGAATATATATATATACATGTATATACGGCATCTGCAAGAATCTTCAGTACCGGTGTTGAAGGATAGGAGGCAGATTATCTTCAAGAAGGAGAAGAAGTATACTGCACTCTGCAGTGTAGTGTAGTCTAGTGCCTAGTCATGCTAGTGGTTTCTAAATTTACTCTAGAGTATTGATCTTTTTTTGGCGCAGTCTTGACTCTATGTCTCTTAGTTTACGTCAAGACTCTGTCTCTGCTCTCAGTCTTTAGAATGGAAACATTGTAGCAGTGACTGTTGTTTTCAGTCACTGAGTCTGAATGTGAACCTAGCTATTTTAAGAATAAATTTTCCCCCTCTCTTTTACAGGAAATATACAGAGTGTATTACCATGTATGCTTGCTTCTTTGAGTATGTGCCTGAAACAAGAATGTCCTGGAGAAAACAGACCACAACAAGAAAAGGTAATTTTTTTTTTTTTTTTTTTTTAACTTGGACTTTTTAAAACTTGACCTGTTTAGTTTGTCAAGTAAAAGGAAATTTTTAAATGGGTGAGGGCATTAAATAAGGCCAAGTTGGAGGGGTGTGCAAAGGGCTGGTATGAGAAGTATCGATTCAGGGGTGGCTACATGGTATGTGTGCAACAAGATGTCTACTAACAAGTTGCTGTAGTGTTTATTTAAAGTGTATTTTAACTTCCAATATATATTTTTATGCCTCCGCCACCGAAGGTGGTGCCGGAGGCATCATGTTTCGGGTTGTCCGTCCGTACGTCCGTACGTCCGTCCCGTTTGACCGTTATCACAATATCTCAAGAACCATTTAAGATTTAAACTTAAGACTCGGGAATAGTATTTATCACCATAGGAAGACGATCTGATTAGATTTTGGAGTACGTAGGTCAAAGGTCACAGGTCACAGAGGTCAACTTATGAAATTCCTTGTATTGAGTTTGTTAGCGCGATATCTCAAGAACCATTTGAGATTTAATTTTCAAACTTAAGGATAGTATGTATCACCATAGGAAGACGATCTGATTAGATTTGGAGCACGTATGTCAAAGGTCAAGGGTCACAGAGGTCAACTTATGAAATTCCATACATTGAGATTGTTATCATGATATCTCAAAAACCACTGGAGATTTAAACTTCAAACTTAGTGATAGTGTGTATCACTATAGGAAAACAATCTGATTACATTTTGGAGCACGTAGGTCAAAGGTCAAGGGTCACAGAGGTCAACTTATGAAATTCCATACATTGAGATTGTTATCATAATATCTCAAGAACCACTGGAGATTTAAACTTCAAACTTAATGATAGTGTGTATCACCATAGGAAGACAATCTGATTAGATTTTGGAGCACGTAGGTCAAAGGTCAAGGGTCACAGAGGTCAACTTATGAAATTCCATACATTGAGATCGTTATCGCGATATCTCAAGAACCACTGGAGAATTATCATTTCAAACTTAATGATAGTATTTATCACCATATCATAATATCTCAAGAACCACTGGAGATTTAAACTTCAAACTTAATGATAGTGTGTATCACCATAGAAAGACAATCTGATTAGATTTTGGAGCACGTAGGTCAAAGGTCAAGGGTCACAGAGGTCAACTTATGAAATTCCATACATTGAGATTGTTATCATGATATCTCAAGAACCACTGGAGATTTAAACTCCAAACTTGTTTAAATTGCTCTATGGCGGAGGCATCATTTTCGACTGCGCGCAGTCAAAATTCCATCTAGTTTATAATTAACATTTGAAGGTCTTGAAGAAGGGATTGGGGGGGGGGGGGGAGTCCTATACACAAAACAGAATGACAAGCAAAAAGAAAATAATTGACCTTCATATTTTGCTGAAAAAGAAAGTAAACATTGAAGACAATTGAAGAAAAAAAAAATAATGCAATTTTTGTGTATTCTTACATATTTGGTTAATATTTATTGAATATTTTTATAATTCGGTTCCAGGGATGGAGAGGAAGGGCTTGCTGTTGAGAGATCATGGAGTGCCTTGAGGTTCCACCTTCAGTCTTGATGTTCTGCCCCTTACCTCAAAGCGATGGCCTCTTGTGCCTGGCAATATATGAGCGAAGCACAATGGACTGGTAATTCATAATGCATATTACAATGTTTTTTTAACAAATCAGGGAAAGAAACAGAGATAAATTCATAGCATATGAGTCTGTCATGGCATTTTTAGTAACTCAACATTTGCTCCTGCAACGACTACTCTAGGCTTTATTTTGTCAAAGGTGTAGGGTTAGACTGAGGGTTGGAATTGTGATTAAGGTGGTTTAGGTTTAGGGTTAGGCCTAGGGATGAAGTTTAATAGTGTAGAAAAATTATGTGAAGCAATTGTCTCAGGAGAAGGTGTTGTACAACTGGATTTTCCAGGTGCTGGTGGAGCTGCATGTATCTTTTACTCATCAATGGTAGTTTTAAAATCTTCCTCTGTATTGTGAAAGCAGAAACATGATGTAGAGTGGAAGGGAAAAAAGTATATAACACAGTATCATTTACAATAGATTTTATAAAGTAAAAACACACTGGCCTGCAGTTTGTGAAACATGTAGCACTGTATTACCAATCAAAAGAATTCAGTGATTTTTACAACGTGCTCTATTGGCATTTATGTACTGGTTATGTTGTAACACAAAATGAATTCTTAACTTTAATCCTGAATCCATTGCTAAACATAATGTCAACCCTAAATGTATTAAACATTGCCAGACCCAATTTCGGGCTACCCTAAATCCCTTTCTACATACCAGTATTGTTCAAAGTTTATATTTATTACACCCTTACTGCGAGTTCTAGAAATTCTGCAAGAACCCTACCCTGCTGTTCACTTTATAATTAGTACTGTACATTGCTTTCATGAACATGCCATAAAAGCGAATTTATTTTATGTTTCTATACAAACAGGTGCCTGTACATGTAATGTATTTCATGCAAATGAAGGGTAGAATGAGAAGCTCACAATGATATAGTAGACAAGGACCTTGCTGTCTAAAGCTCGGAGGCCAGATGACAGTGTCTGAAGTAAGTCACCCCATAGAATAGCGAGAACTTTTTGTTGCAATTGTTAACCAACACATCCTTACCACATGCAACCCATCCCACTTTCACAATATATTTTCTTAACAACAGTAACCCAAGTTCAACGTTTGGATTGGTGATTTTAAACAAAAATGGGGGTGGTAGGGCGGTCAGCCTAGCAGTACAAGATCTAATTATGTCATATGGCTGTATCTTGGATGTCCTGGAGGTAGTTGCCCGAGAAGTGTGATAAAGAAAAATATGTTTGCATACTAACAGTAAAAAAAATAAAAATGATTGGACACCTTTGGTTGTAACAACTCAGATCAGAATGAGATTTTTACACTGTAAAGTTGCCGGTGTCAAGTATTTTTGGAATTCAGTTCTATGATTTCTCTGTGAATGCCATTTTAAAAACAATGGTCTGAATGTTTAATTAGATCTTTTACACAAACGTAGTATATTAGTAATGAAAGGCATGTTTGGTAATACAGTAATTTCATTTCAGACCATGAAGACCATGTATTATTATAATTATCTGGGATGTGTCGTTGGGCTGATAAGCATGGAAAATAAGGAATGTACTCCTGTCGAGCGAACAATATGTTTATATAAAACGAATAACTCTTTGAAGATTACTTACTAGAAGAAGTAGAACAAGAAGAAAAAGAAGAAGAAATACACTGATGATGTCAGCTTTACTTCCTAAAGTTGTATACTATTTGAAAATAGTTTATATTTTATTCATGAACAGCCGGCTTGTCAGAATTGCGTACAAGGATGCCATTGTACTTTTCTGTACTAAAAGCTGAAGGGGAGCAGTCACCAGAAGGAACATGCAACTCCAAAACAATGTGGATACTTCTACCGAGTTCATCTCAAGAATCGAGATGTGACAGTGGATGTACATGTAGAGGGGTTTGCGACCCTCCTGACTGGGGACTACTTGCAATACACATAAACTCAATCAATGGATTGTAGAGGAGTAATGGTGGGTCCGGTGAGCTCAACTCTGGAGGTTAAGTTCGGAAAATTAATAAAGTTCCTTTTAATATGGGTGTATATGGTTCCAGGGATTAATTTGACGCAATGTCTCGTAGTGACACGCCCTTTTAAGGGGCAACACACGTGTCAGAAGGTATAAAATGGGAAGCAGTTCCTGAATTGGCACGAGCTTTTACTTTTCGGATGACTTCCTCATTTAGTTTCATACCTCATTTCCTTTGCCGCCATGAGGTGCTAAAGTTTTAGCAGAGTTGGGGGCTTCCACCCCATAGATGTGACTTTTCATGATTAAATGTAATAAATTGTAATAAAGTTACTATCCACTTCAACATTTGTTGAGACTTTTATTTCTTTGTGTGGACTTTGTTCTTCTCTGGAACGCGATTTGGGCAGTGTGATAGGCGGCCACCGGCCACTCAGTTGCCGGGGCTGTTTCATATATAAAGAATGTGTGAGAACAAGCGACTGCATTATAAGCTCAGCATGATCAGTAACATTGATTCCTTTTATGAGGAAATTTAAAATTTTGTTCCTCCCAACCATGAGTTGTACATATTCTTTGATTCGGGGAGGGGTTGGTGAAGAGGGATAAGTGCCCCATATTTTGTATTGTAACAGGTTTTGTTTTCTACATAAGGAGACAAGGATAATATAGTAATATATCACCTATATCAACACGATGAGCAAGACAGCGAATGAGGCGATAGAATGAGTTTAGAGAGGGTGGGGAAGGAGGATCGAGAGAATAGAAGGGGACGAGGTGAGAAGGAGAGTGAGTGTGGAAAACAGAATTGGAGGGGTAAAGGAGGGCGGGAGCAGGAGGTAGAAGAGAGAGGTATATAGAGTAGAATAGGGAAGAAGGGAGGAGATGGATTGAGTGAGGAAAAAGAGGATGAAATGGGGAAGAAAATGGAGGAAGGGCTAGAAATGAGTAGGACAATAATAATGATATATGCCCGAAATATATTGTGTTAGGCTGAAAGAGGAGGAAGGCCAAGAAATGGGAGGTGATATAATATACAATGAGGAGACTGTGAAAGCAGGGGTAAAAAGAGGAATTAATGGGGGGGGGGGGGGGTTAAAGGGAGAACAGAAAATAGAGGAAACAGAGAGGAATGGTGGAGCTGAGAGAGCGAGGTTAGAGAGGGGCAGTGGGGGAGGGGGGGGGGCCGTCCCTTCAAAAATAAAACGTGTAAAAACACGTCAATTTAACCTTTTGGGGGAGATGCCCCACCCCCCCCCCTGGCGCTCAAGGGGGGGGGGGGAATTTAGAGGCCCCCCCCCCCCAAAAAAAAAAATGTGGTCACTATCCACTAAGGGGAGGACAAAGGGGGAAAGTAGAGGAAACAGAGAGAAACGGTGGAGCTGAGAGAGCGAGGTAAGAGAGGGGCAGTGGCGGATCTGGGTTGGGGGGGGGGGGCCATTCCCCTCCCCCCTTTGAAAATAAAAATGTAAAAACACGTTAATTTTACCTTTTGGGGAGATTCTGCACCCCCACCACACCCCCTCGCCCCCTGGCGCTCAAGGGGGGGGGGGGCAAAATTTAGAGGGCCCCCCCCCCCAAAAAAAAAAAATGTGCTCACTACCCCACTAAAGGGAGGTTTAAGGGGGAACAAAAAGTAGAGAAAACAGAGAGGAACGGTGGAACTGAGAGAGCGAGGTAAGTGAGGGGCAGTGGCGGATCCGGGTGGGGGGGGGGGGGGGGGCATTCACCCCCTCTTCGAAAATAAAAATGTAAAAAACACGTTAATTTTACCTTTTTGGGGAGATGCCGCACCCCCCAGCCCCCCCCCCCCCCTGGCGCTCAAGGGGGGGGGGGGGGGGCAAAATTTAGAGGGCCCCCCCCCAAAAAAAAAATGTGCTCACTACCCCACTAAGGGGAGGTTAAAAGGGAAACAAAAAGTAGAGGAAACAGAGAGGAACGGTGGAGCTGAGAGAGCGATGTAAGAGAGGGGCAGTAGCGGATCAGGGGGGGCCGCCCCCCCCCCTTCAAAAATATTTTACCTTTTTGGGGAGATTCCCGCCCCCCCCCCACCCCCCTGGCGCTCAAGGGGGAGGGGGGGGGGGCGATGCAAATATTAGAGGGCCCCCTCAAAAAAAATTGTGCTCACTACCCCGCCACCCCCCCCCCCAACTGAGCGCATTTTCGGCTGGCGCGATTTTCAAATTTCCGGGAGCAAAAATAAAAAAATTGGGCCCCCACCCTAAGAAATCCTGGATCCGCGCCTGGAGAGGGGAAGCAGGGAGAAAGGGGGATCGAGAGAGGGACCAACATTAATGAGACGCGGAGAAAAGGGAGCGTAGGTGGGGAGAAGGCGAAAGGGGGCATTCTTTTGGATTTAAGAGGGCGGCCGGCCGGGTAAGGGAATAAGGGCGTATACTCCGTGGAGCGTTTAGGAAATGAGGGGAAATAAGAAGAGCTAGAGCAGGATAGTGAAGGGAAAGAGAGAGGGAGAAAGAGCGCGTGCGGGATGGAGGGAAGGAAGATTGAGGAGGGGGGGGGGGGCGGGTGGCGGAATAAGCAGGCCGACCGGAGAATGAGTTGATGAAGGTTTGGGAAAAGGGAGTGAATGAACTAGGGAAAAGGATTGGATAAACTGGGATTAACGGATAAGAGCGAATTAAAGGCGGTGAAAAAGAAGGTAGAAGACGAAAGTTGGTGAATGAGGAAGGAGAGAATGAAAGGGGAGAAAAGAAAGAAGGAGAGAGTGGTAAACAGAGAGCTAGAGAGGGGAAGCGGTAAGGCAAGGGGAGAAGGGGAGGGGAGAGATGAGCAAGCAAACCGGCGGAAGAACGAGTTTAGAGAGGATGGGGGAAAGATGATTGGGTTTACGGCGAAGAGAGGGAAATGGCTGAAGGGGTGCATGGGGGGCGGGGGGGGGGGCAGGGGAAAATCAAAGGAGAATGGGGATGAGGGATTGAGACAATAGAAGGGGACGAGGAAAGAAGGAGAGACACTATAATACTCAGGTGATAAAGAGGAACAGTGCGTTACTGTGGCAACCGTAATCTGGATAACATAAAAGTAAGAGGTAATAGTCTACTCACAAGACGATTTTATGTTAATCGAGGGTCTATAAATAGGGATAATATCAATCTATAGCTTTTTAAAAATGTTATACAATCGGCCTATAATCAAATGAAACTCCTAACTTCACTACAACCTTTGTTTTGGTGATTAATTGGTACTCTTTACCGCTAGGTTCTTTTAAAGCTATGATCTTGCTTAACTCGGTGTTTATGCATGCATGAAGCATTGCCCCTACCCCCCTAAAAATATTTAAAAAAGTGAATTAAAAAAAGTTATGTCAGTGCCAACAAAATCTAAATTAATAAGTGAACATTAAACAACATGAACAGCCTACACAGAGGAGCATGCACGCGTTTTATTTTATATCATTTATATTTTCATTGCCCATGCGATTAAAAATAGGTAAAGTCTGGAGTAAAGAAAACTCATCAGACCAGTGTACTATCAGGGCGCAAAAATTACTCAATCCTACAGTTCACTACTGTTCTATAAATCTAACCTAGGTGACAATAGTTCCAGTACATTACCATAGCAACCTTGTCACCTGGGTTTCAGATTACATATTCTGCTCTGATATTACTGAGCAACTTTGGGTAATCTCCTTCGATACTTTACTGTTACTGTATTGGTATCGGGTGACCTCCTTCTATATACTCTAGACGTTATATGCGCCAAACGTTTAGGTTTGTTCTGGACATTGGTTGATATGCGCTCAAATAAGACCTTTTTAATGTCGGCTGCTAGAATTTGTGCACCCCATATTCGATGAGGTATATAATAATCTACAATTCATGTGAGTTTCAGCACATTTAAAGCAAGTGGGAATTAGCGGCGAATGTATTAACCCCCACCCCTTCTATATACTCTAGACGTTATATGCGCTATACGTTTAGGTTTGTTCTGGACATTGGTTGATATGCGCTCAAATAAGACCTTTTTAATGTCGGCTGCTAGACTTTCTGCACCCCATATTCGATAAGGTATCTAATAATCTACATTTCATGTGAGTTTCAGCTCACTTAAAACATATGGAACATTAGCAACGAATGTATTAACACAACCCCCTTCTATATACTCTAGACGTTATATGCGCCAAACGTTTAGGTTTGTTCTGGACATCGGTTGATATGCGCTAAAATAAAACCTTTTTAATGTCGGCCGCTAGACTTTCTGCATCCCGTATTCGATTAAGTATATAATAATCTACATTTCATGTGAGTTTAAGCGCATTTAAAGCAAATGGGAATTAGCGGCGAATGTATTACCCCCACCCCCTTCTATATACTCTAGACGTTATATGCGCCAAACATTTAGGTTTGTGCTGGACTTTGGTTGATATGCGCTCAAATAAGACCTTTTTAATATCCGCTGCTAGAATTTGTGCACCCGTATTCGATGAAGTATATAATAATCTACATTTCATGTGAGTTTAAGCACATTTAAAACAAATGGGAATTAGCGGCGAATGTATTAACCCCACCCCCTTCTATATACTCTAGACGTTATATGCGCCAAACATTTAGGTTTGTGCTGGACATTGGTTGATATGCGCTCAAATAAGACCTTTTTAATGTCTGCTGCTAGAATTTGTGCACCCCGTATTCGATGAAGTATATAATAATCTACATTTCATGTGAGTTTAACCACATTTAAAGCAAATGGGAATTAGCGGCGAATGTATTAAAGGCCGAAACCCCATTCACCGATATTCTCTCAACGTTATTCGCTATTAACAAAAATATTTGTTCTGGACATTGGTTGATATGCGCTCAAATAAAACCTTTTTAATGTCGGCTGCTAGACTTTCTGCACCCCGTATTCGATCAGGTATCTAATGATCTACAATTCATATGAGTTCGAGCACTTTTAAAATAAATGGAAATTAGCAACGAATGTATTAACCCCACCTCCTTCTATATACTCTAGACGTTATATGCGCCAAACGTTTAGGTTTGTTCTGGACATTGGTTGATATGCGCTCAAATAAGACCTTTTTAATGTCGGCTGCTAGAATTTGTGCACCCCATATTCGATGAGGTATATATTAATCTACAATTCATGTGAGTTTCAGCACATTTAAAGCAAGTGGGAATTAGCGGCGAATGTATTAACCCCCACCCCTTCTATATACTCTAGACGTTATATGCGCTATACGTTTAGGTTTGTTCTGGACATTGGTTGATATGCACTCAAATAAGACCTTTTTAATGTCGGCTGCTAGAATTTGTGCACCCTGTATTCGATGAGGTATATAATAATCTACAATTCATGTGAGTTTCAGCACATTTAAAGCATATG